GGCTATGTGCTATAAGGTGAGCTTACGCAAGCTTTGCTTCAACAAATGATGTTCTGATTCTTTTTTCTTATTTGTAACGCAATTTATTTCTGCCTGCCCCATATGCAAATCATTCTTAATTTAATCCTTGTTTTAATTTCTGTTGTTGTTATCATGGGTGAAACAAGCGTTCTTTTTAACTAGCTTTTAAAAGTCACAAGAGAATAATGAGGTTTCTTCCTGAGAAAAATGGCAAGTCTTTTTTCTGCATCAGCCTGATTGTAATATTAATGATGTAGGCTTAAAACATTTAACTGCATCAACAGCCACTCATGAGCAATTTTCCCAAAGATCTCTAAGCATTATTGACAATGCTTTGGTAAATTATGTGTGACTTTCCTAAGAGTTGGTGTAGCTCATTTAATTCATATTAATTGATTTTTAGGCTTCCCTTGATTAATTGAACTGGGTTCATCTTGCACAGAATGCAATAAATAATCATTAAAATGAGGGAGATGTGACTCCACAAATTATAAAGTTAAGTATGCTAGAAGTCATAGAGGACAAAATGGAAGTTACTTCAGTAATGCAGTTAAATAGGTTTTCTTAGTATTTCCCTATTAATTTTGCATGCAGTACCCCTGCTCAGACATTTATGTGAATATATTCCGGTAATATTGGTAGATTTAGAAAGCAATGGATTTGGGGGTTTCTTAGTCCACCTTTATCCCAATGAAGTATTCTCTAAATCAAAGCAATGTAGTAATATCTTATGTTTGCTAGTTCCCTTTTGGAAAAATTCAGAAAAAGTACCATGGAGCTTTAGTCCTGGAACCACCTCTCTCCTTTGCCTTCTCCTCCTTCTCGCTTATTTGAAGCAAATGAAAACAGCATTGTACCTCTACGTTTTGCTCCGGGATATGTGACTAAAAGACCATCTTGAACTGTTTTAAATACGCCTAGCCTATTTTGTTTGTCACACAGTATGTAAAAAGGGTTTCCCTGTCTAACAGCTCTACTGTCCTTCCTGTGATGAGAATGAAACCTCACGCAGTACTGTGTGGTCCCAGCCACAGCCCACTGTCGCTGGCAGGAGGCTCCTGACCTGCACTTCCCTGCGCCCCCGCAGGACTGCTCTGCGGTCCCTTCTGCAACCGGCTGCACTTTGCTCTGAGCTGTTGGCATACGTTTTGTTTTGGTGCACAAATGGCAGGTCGGGAAGGGAACCTGTCACAGCTTGGAGCGACTCTGAAGTAGATTAAGTCATAATAAGCTTTCTGATCACATCCGCCTCAAAACTAATAGGTTCTCCGTGATATCCGTGAGGCTGAGCTCTCAAAGCCTTTGCCAGAAATGGATTTTCTGCTATGGTTGGGGCATCGTCTGTGTAACTCAAGCAAAGTGCCAAGTCTCACCAGCAGAGAAATCTTGCTAATTTTCTGAAACTTTATGGAATTTTCCCTGCAGAGACTTAAAGTGATACTTTCAAAAGCACTCCGTAGATAAGCAGGAACTGTACACTTTTGGAAATCTTATTCGTGGAGTCTAATTCTGTTCCATTTGAAGTTACTGGCATAAATCCATTTGATTCTGAACAGGAATTTGATGCTATATCTGAGGTATGTGGGGACCAGTGTAATTAGAGCAGCTATTCTCTTTTTTTTTTTTTTTTTTTTTTTTAACTTAAATGGGATTTTTTTTAGATAAGATTTCCAAAGACAAAATGGCAAATTTCTGGAGCAGGAGCTCTGCATATAACAGTGTAGTGGCTGAGTTCATCTCTATTTTTAGCTTTTAGGAATACTTGTTCAAAAAAAAAAAAAAGAAAGAAATTATATTGAATTACTCAGCTCCTGTGGTGATGAAGACCTTAGGAATACCAGCACCAATTAATACCAGAATTAATTAATTAACACACTGAAAAGTTGGTGAGGTTTATTCTAGTTTAATGTTTTTCATGTGCTAACAAAATTACATTCTGGATAGACTGAAGAATATTGTTATGAACGAGCTATCCTTAGAAGTGTAACCTTTTCTGGCATAAATAGGTTTAAAAAATTAAGTATATCTATCTTTGCTCCTGTGTTTAAATTTGTTCTTCTTTCTAGGATATGTTCAACCACTTATCCAGGACTCCATTAGTGATTTCATGGTTTATGCCCGCACAAGTGTCAATCTGCTGAGTGCCAAATACAATCATAATGAGAAGCAATATGATTACACCGCTCCAAAGAATTTCCTGGAGCAAATCATGCTTTATAAGATCCTGCTAGAGAAAAAAGGCAAGGAGCTGTCAGAACACGTGGAGCACTTGGTGAATGGCATACAGAAGCTAAAGACAACAGCTTTTCAGGTAAATTGAGAAAGTCGCAGTCTTTTATTTTATTCTTTATAAATAATGTATTTTGTCATTGCTAATAGCAAAAAAAAAAAAAAAAAGTCACAGTGCCTTTTCATTGTATTGATTAGTTCTGATATGACATTTTTGTGCTTCACAGAAATTACCTGATTTTGGAAACTTTTTTTTTTTTATTTCACATAGCCCTCCTTTGTGCTTTCTAGCTGTCTTGCCCCCGTCAGAGCAAGACTAAAGACTAGCTGGAAGGGAAGCCTAGGAGGGCCACAGGTGGGGGAGAGGAGGGGTAAGCGCCACAATAAAAGCCAGACGATGGTGATGCAGTTATGTATGTGGGGCTTTGGTGCATGGGCAGTGACCTAATGAGGGCAAGAGTAACCAGTATGGAGCCTTTACATCAGTTGTCATCGTCTCCTTGTGGACGTAGTCCCAGATAGCCCCCGAGCAATACTTCTGCCTACAGTTGAGTTTTACAGGTCAGTTTTGACTAGCCAGTACACAAAGACAGAAGGGAAACTTCTGCTTTGTAGCTGCTGAAGACAAGCCACGATCCAGCAATTTCCTTATTAAAAATGAAAAGTATCAAGTGCAACAAATGCACAACAATATCAGATACTTTAGTTTTGCAGAAAGAAAAATCTATAAAATCAGGTCAAAACAATTAAAATGAAGTGAGTGGAGAGCTGATTTTTTTTTTCTTTTTTTAGAGACTCTATTACAAAGAAGTCAGTATCCCAGCTTTGTTTCCTTCTCATTTGGAAAGGTACAAATTTTGAAAAGATAATTCTTCTAGGTTTTGTAATGGATTTCAGGAGTTCACCAAAGAAGAGTCTTCAAGACCTTCCTCTTGCAAAAAGTTGAACCTCGCTAATGTTTTTCTTCCTCGTTGTCTTATCACCTCTATCCATATCAGGTTAACAACAATCCCTTCTGATTAGAATATAGCTTCATTATCATGATAAGATTCTTGGAGGGATAGGGAAGAAAATAAAGAGGTATTTAAAATATATCCGTCACATACAGAAAAGTATTGTCAGGAGATATCTTCATATGGGTTTCTAGCCTGGCAGGCAATAAATTGTTCTTTCAGCAAACTAACAGGTAGTCTTTGTTAATCGGTGTCTGAGTTTGTCTTAACCTTTCAGCAAACCTCTAGTGGAATTATCTCTTCATAGTGATCGCTGAGCATTTTCCAACATGTCTTTTTGCTTTTATGTTTGCATCTTTGCCAGGCCCTGCAGTAGCTTGTTGTGCTGCTTAAAAGATGTCTGGTTGCACAAACAACCTCAGCAACTGGACAGGCGTAGCATGGGGTGTCTCAAAGGAGCTGTGGAGTTTCTGGTGGGTGCAGTTAGACCATCCTCGTTTAATTCTTTAGATCAGCAAAATTCTGTGAGCTACAAACATGGAGCTGTTGTTTAGAAAGAAAATAAAAGACAACGGAGGAAGAGGTGACACTTTTAGTACTGGGACCTGTGAAATATGCATGAATTTTATTTTCAGTGTCAGCTTTTGGGGGTACATGTGATGTAATCCTTCAATAATCATAGCTGGTAACCCTCGCTCACAAATAATGCATTGCCTTTTGCCCTGTAGGTAGAAGATCTAAAATCCAGTCTTGCTTCTCAAGAGGCAGAGCTGCAACTGAGAAATCAAGATGCCACAGCTTTGATTGCTAAGATAGGGTTTCAGACTGAGGAAGTGAGCCAAGAAAAGGCCATTGCAGATGCAGAGGAGCAAAAGGTCAGTCTAATTCCCCCATTTAGTGCTGTTGAGCTATATTTAGCACAAAATAAACCTTTTTTAGGTGAACAGTTTTGAACAACTTCCTCTCCGGGGAGCATAAAATCTAAAGAATTATTATACTTACACATGTAACAGCATTTCACACCATGATTACCACTTGACCTTTCTTTACATTATGCCTTTTCCCAACCTTTTAGCTGTTTTAATGAGATGAAAGAACAATAAATACTGAGTTCATTCAAGCATTTAATGGATGTGGATCTTGAGAATCAGACCTATTTGTAATATAGTAAAGGTCAGGGAGTCATCTCTGAGCACTTCAGATTTCTAAAGGCTTTAAGGTTTTAGGTAAATTGAACAATCCAATTGATACAGAAGTCCATTCCAGTATCTTGCAATATTACAAGGTGTAAACCTCGAATTTAAAGATTATAATAGCATTCCTAATTAGCTGTTTCATCAGTGTTGATCTTCCTCCTTTTTCTTAGTTCAGCATATTAACATTAATTACCAACTTTCATGTTGCAGATGTAGAGGTTTACATGCATTATTCCTCACCACAGACTGGCTGAAAATGCATAATTTCATCCAGATGCTAAACTTTTAACCTACCATAGAAAGTACATTTTGAAATAAAAATAAGTACAGAATGCTATAAATTGAAGTTCCTCTGCCTTAAGGTCCACAGGCCTTATTCAACTCTGCCATTTTTCTAGAAAAACTGATGTAGACTGTATCCTTTATCAATATTACAGAAAGAAAATTTTAAATGATTCAAAATAGCTGTTAACCCCTGATTTCCAGATATGAAAGCTTCAAGTCACTTCAAGTTAGTGTTGTAAACAGTAATCAGGTGCTGATGAATGGGGAAAACTACCCTGTCTGTGAGCAATCAAAACTTCCGTCTTCTCCTTGTCTTTCACTCTCTTTTGTTTTGCTTCTTAAAGATTTATTGTTATTAGGTGATACTGAGTACTTTTCATAATGATCTTTTGTCTTATCTTAATTGCATTGAAGAAAAAGAGATTTTTGCCAATGGCATAAATGAAGGCTGGATCAGAACAGTTATGTTTTTCTAGATGATGCTGATTATGAATCAGGCTTTCACTAATGCATATCTTACATAGGACCTAGAAAAACTGCTGCAAAGTTTAAAGCCAGAAGACTGCGATTAAATTTGCATGAACTGGATGAAAAAGCTCAGTGTCTTACCGACTACTTTTCAGTGGTCCTTTTTCAGTTCTGGTAAATTTAGGAGGATCGAGAAATACTATTCGAATTACTTTGTTAAGCAGCTAGGTGAAACATATAGTGATTACTGTGGAATAATTGCACCTTTGGGCCACTTCATGCACCTTTGGGCTCAGCTTCGTGCCACTAACAATTACCATACTCCCCTGTTCGTTGCTTTATTGCGCTTCTGAAATGCTTTCTTTGGAATGAAAGTGTCACTTTGTGCTACATTAATCTAAAGCTATTTCATAAGGCTGAAGATGGTTTCTAAATATGAATCTTCTCCTATAATTTTTGTTATACAAAAATCAGCAAATGAGAATTCATCTTCCAGCTAAATAGTTTGTGGATACCCTTCAGAATTGATTAAAATTGACCACCCTTTAAAAAATTATTTAACTTTTAAGTTTAACTCTCCAGAACTGGAGTTTATAGGGTGTTGTGAGTTTTACAGTATTTAAGCTAGTAAATGCCTTAGAGGTATTGCCTTAGAGTGATGTATTACCTAAGAGATGAAGAGTGGAAGTCACTTTGGATCAGACTCGTGAAGAAAAGCGGGGTCAGTCTGGATGCCCCATAAATGTGGCAGAGTTCCATACCTTTACAGTAATCAGCGGGGATCTGACTACAAGCTTCACTCTGCTAAGATTTTGAAGTAGTGGGCCATAACATTGCTGTCATTTTGTTGGCAGTTTGTATGCTCTGAATGATGCCATCCAGAGTGGTTTACAGATAAAGATGCGTATGCCATTGCTTTCTAAAACGGGGGCCTATCCCTTCAAAGAAAGAAAACAAGCAGAGCATGGCGTAAATACGCAGGTGATAGAGTGACACTGCTGAGGATAAGGACCAAAGATGGATCCGGACTGACCAGCTTTTTTGATTTATCTTCCTTAGCTGAAGTACGCTATTTACACAGTATATTTGAGCCACTGTACTTGTGGTCTGATTGCTAAGGGCACACAAAAGGACACACTGCTTCCAGCTTTTCTAGCAATTTAGCCATCATTTAAGAGCTCTATACCATGGGAATTATTGATGTGAAGGGGACTAAATTTCTGGAGAAAATGAGGAAAAGCTCCTTGGTCCCCTTTTGTGAGGGGGAGTGCGTTTGAGGAATACCTTTCTAAACCTTATCTGCAACCTTTTCTGTTTAATTTTTCCTCCTTTAGGAAAAATGACTTGTCTCGTATTTTCTTTGTGCATCAACAAGCAAAGAACAACTAAACATAGGAAAAAACAGATACAGAACTATAATATTTGTGTGACGTTAATGGAAAATACTGTGTCATGTTAGAAGCACTATGTCCTGTGTGTGCAGTAAGTGTTTACATGCTTACATACTTAATAACTTTAAAATTCTATGTCGGCTATAGATTTAAACTTTTTTCCTGGTAAGTTAATTTCAGTAACTTAGGTCTCAAACCATGTGTAGAGAAAATATAAGCCAAATCAATATGCGGTATTTCATTTTAAAAATACGTTGTGGCTAAGATACACACCAACAAACATTCGGAATTTCATCCTAAAACTTTCATGACTTTTGTTTTGGATTTATTCTTCATGAGAGATGTGGAAAAGATTCAACTTTGTTAGTAACTTGTCATTTATAAAGTACTGCAAGTTAATTTTTAGTCTTTGTTTTTATCTTGAATAACGTCTGTGTATGTTCCATGTAATAAATGTATACATGGTAAGTGCCCCCAAACAATCATACAAACAAGTTTAGTAAGGATATTAAATTATTATAGGGGCTGGTTACTGCCAGCGCACAATGCTTGATCCAAATATTAACTTCTTGATCACTGTAGTATACACTTTCTTTGTAATTAGACTTTGTTTAAGCAAGACCTAACATGAAATGTTTGCGTGAGAAGCTTTTCAGTGTGAGGTACAAAGATAAAGACTGGCCAAGTATAACCAACTTCAGGGCCATGCAATGTATCCTTAAAAATGTACATGATAATATTCCAAATATGCAACTGCAGATGATGAAGAAATCCCTCCAGGGTTAATCTACCAGATAAATATGCACCAACAGAATCATAATCAGCTTTTAAACAGATAATTAAACCGTATCAGAAAGTTGTGCAGGCACTCAGATTTCCCTTGAACTTTTTGCTAAGTAACGTAAAGTCATTGATCTAAGCCACTGTTATGTGGCTTCCCTTTTGGGGAAGTAACATTTTTACTTTGAATTGCGTAACACTTCCAAAACAATAAGGTAGTACAGGATTCCAGTTTTGCATTTGTGATAAAGTAGGAGTTAGCTTCTGATTCTCTAAAGTGGAAAAGGGTTGATACACTGGAGCTTTTCTTTTTGCAGGTTGATGACTTCTTACAAGCTTTAATCAGCTATGATAAGGAGCATATTCCTGAGAGTTATCTGAAAGTCATCAAGGAACATCACTTGAAAGATCAGATTTCAACCCAAATTGTGTTCATATAAAGTCCTTTGTAGCAACTGATCTCTGTGCCTAGGCTATCAATATAGTAAAATTCTATGAGGTATATGTATCAATATATTTCTCTCTTGACTAGGGTAGTTGAGAGAATGTTTGTTATTGAAGTCTGATTATTTTGGCAAGCTCAGATCAGCATTCTGGGAAAAATGCAACAGCAACAACAAACAGAGCGGGAAATGCTTAATGCTTAACAGTATGCATGTATGTACTTATTTTTAGCAGAGAGTGGTAAAAGATGTGTGGCCATCTAGGTCTTTTCAATTATCATCATGATGCAATAGTGGAGAAATATCCTTCTCCAAATGTACACATTGCATTTGAAGTGTCCATCTGAGTCTGGCTGTCTAGAGTGTAAGACACAGTGTTGATCAGATGTGATTCTCTTGAATAGGCAGTAGGATTACTCTCTTCATCCTAGTATGATTGCAAGTTATCATTTAATTACAAATGTTCAAAAACCATTCAGTTTAGAAATCTGTTCAAACTCAGTGTTTGTATGGCTTTCCATCTGTATGCTGAAACCATAAAAAAGATATATATGAATTAATTTCAGTTGGAGAGAGGACCCACTTGAAGATATGTTCAGTTCTACTTAAGACATTCTTGTATAACCTATAATCAGATCTTCTGTGTTCTTTAGGTAAATATTGAAACAAATCTCTGCATATTTCATTACTATGTAGAAAGATGGCTGTAAGGCAGGAGTCATTTGCAATTTTAAAAACGGGTGTGAGACCAGCTTTTTGTCTAATATACCTGTATTGTATGCCTTTTTCAAGGTGTATTGTGAGGTACAGCCTAAGTGTTGTGCATTAGCCCAGGCAAATGCTGAATTAGCAGCAGCTACCAAAAAGCTAAAATCAATCAGGAAAAAGTTTCTTGTAAGTACTGCCTGATTAATGAGCAGTCTTCTTTAATATCTTGAGCCCATTTAATTGGCCTGCAACTAGCTCTAGCAAAGTACAAGATCTGTCTAGAGAGACAACTAATTCTATTACTCCCTAGCTGAAGGATTAAAGATATGGTTGCATTAAGCATTATTACTATTTTTCCTATAAATCTGTCAAACAACATTCGGCATTTTCAGCGGTAGCAGATGAGGCTGTTTACAAGAAATGACCAAATTTCCTCAAAATCACCCAGATAATGTTATAACAAATAGATTAGTCAGTCCAGTTGACCACTGATGTAAGTAACTGGCTATGATTTGTGCTAGCTATGCATGCTAGTTGATTGTATGAGTATTGACCTTTTGGAATACAGGAAAAAATTTTGGAACCTCATGCTCATCTATGTATA